GTCACGTTTGGTGAATTGATCTGGGAGACTGGGGGGCCCAGGAGCTGAAAGACACCACCTATTAAGGCTGTGTGAGCCATGGGGGAGTCATCCCTTGGGATTAAGGCTGGAACTCTGAACTTACTTTGAGAGATTCTTCAGTAGTTGCAGAAAGCATTTGCTCCACAATAGGCTTGAATCCTGTAGTAGCTCCTGCCTGTGAAGCAGCCAATAGCATCTCTCTTGTGGGAAATATGCGACTGTGCTCATGTGCACCTCTGGCCATGTATGCATCATTAGTTCAACGCAAAAGCTCATTTAATGTGGCTTTCTATTTAAACACTTCATCTATTCTATCGCTGGTTCATGCATTGCACTAACACGCTGTAACTCACGCCTGAGCAAACCTCCTCTAGTACATGGGTGCCACAGTCCCCCATGTAGGAATGCTAATGCGCACTTGTGCACTATTCGGAGACACTTTCAACAACAAATTCACTGATGAACAGCATCAAAATGTAAATACCGGCACAAAAGAGGCTTTGGAAGGAATCCTCCCTCACACTTCTGAGAACCATACATGGAAGGCAGAAAGCACTTTCATTCTTCTCTGGGGATGAAAGCCTCAGGCAACTCAAAATTATTTCACCTGGCTTTTTTCTACAAATGGCTATGTTAGTGTCACCAATCTTGATTTGGGAACTTAGAGACACATTTTAGCCACAGGGCAACTTTGCAAATGTGGAGTCTGCCAATAAGGAAAACTTGATTTGCTTCTTAGGCTTTGTGAGACACAGAGATGGATCATATTCTCTTAGCTTGGGAATAATCTCACTAGTTGCATGTGATTACAATCCCAATCAGGGTGACTTGTCTCAGCATGTGAGGCCTAAAAGTCAGCAGACTGTCTAGATTGTGGATGGAAACCTTCAAATCGTGAGTCAAAATATTTTTTCTCATTAACTTGTTCACTAAATTGAACTATTTGTTACAGCATCAGAAAGCTAACACAGACATTAAAATGATAGGTTTATGTTTTTCCTTTTATTGAAAATAGATTTTTTTCATACAGTATATCCTGATTATAGCTTCCCTTCCGTCTACTCTGCCAAGTTCCTCTCCACACCTCCCTTCTCCTCCAGATCCACTCCCTTTCTTTCTGGCTCACATTAGAAAATAACAGGCTTCTAAGAAATCACAACCAAATACAGCAAAAAATATATATATAATAAAATAACGCAAAAACTATAATATTGAAGTGGGACACAGCAACCCAACAGGAGGAAAAGAGTCCCAAGAACAGGCACAGGAATAAGAGATCCACTTGTTCTCACAGTCACAAGTCATGATGAGTTTGTATGCATATTTTCCATTCTTTTTTCCCCTTTTTTGCTGACTTGAAAATGTTTATTCTTTTAAAAAGTTAGTTGCTTTATATACATCTACACAAAGTTCTTAATGTTTCTTTGGCAATGGAATATAATGGGATTTTACAACTATATAAAAAAGTTACCTTTGCGGAAGAAACAGTATTTACCTGTGTGAACATAGTTGAATGACACAATTCTCTACCATACAGCACCTAATTAAGTTTTGAAATAAGATACTTCATATTATAGGCTTTCCAAAAAGAAGAAAGAAACACACTCACTCACACACACACACAACCTTCTGTATGGCTCAAAGCACAGTATCACAGCCTACCACCTGCAGGCAGCTGTAAGTAATCACCTAATACAATTAACTAGAGACAAGAAAAATCCTTCAGTGATGAGAAAAAGACTTAGCAGTTCCATTCAGCTTGCTGTGGTTCAACTCTAGCCAGGATCACAGCCTTCTGCTACTCCCTATACAATTATGCTCGTGTTTTAAGATAAGCCTTCCTGCCCCAAAGCAACTTTAGTGCAGCTTTGAAATGAAGCAGAAAAAACTCCAGTGCTGGTGACAGACAGACAGCAACCTCATTTCTTCATTCTTCACTTTCCAACACCACGAAGAGCTTGGAGTCACCTGTTTTCAAACACTTGTTTATAGACTATGCAGCAACTTCATTGTCTTTCTTCCAGAAAGCAGAATGATTAATCCAGACATTTAGGGTTCAAAGGCCGTGGTTTCTCTATTCAAAATCTGCAAACTCCATGCCCCCACAACCACCCACCACTGAATTCACCACAAAATCCTCAAGGACAGAGAAAGTCCTTCATTGCCACGTCCTCTGCCAGGGCCTCCTCTGCCTTGGGAGACCCCATGGTTATGATTTGGACAAAGCTGAATTTCAAGTGTTGTAACATTTAACCTTCTTTCTCCAAGCCAAGTTGGTCTTCTTTCTCTATTATCATCACAAGAAATATTGTCAAAGGAGGGTTTAGTTTTGTCACAATAGCAAATGTGTCAAGAGGGTCTCCTTCATCTGCATTCCTTCACTATTGTGAGTATCAACTCCAGAGTCTCCTTTATCTTCACCACTTACAGGTTTCTCAAGTTTCTCTTTTAATTTAAGTTTATTATGAAACTCTGTTGATTTCTTCCTTGTTAAATTGTGCGTTTGCACTTTCAAAGTCAAAGTCTTTCTCAAATTTCATTAGACTATCTCAACTGATAGCCACTCTTCCCATGCCATCTCAATGACCCCCACATCCTTCCCTTGGAGCAGAAGGACACCTGGAGCTACTTGCCTCTTGCTATCACTTCTGAGCTGCTCATTTTCTGGCCCTGGAACTCTGTGTACTTCAGCTCGCTTGTGCTCTTGGTTGTCTGTTGTTTCTGGCTGGTAGATGGCAAAGGCCTGATTGGTACATGGCTCTTTTTCTGACAGGTGCTAGAGTAGGTAAGTGGGCCGAGGCCATCTGTATTGCTTTTTCTGTGGTTGAACCTTTGCTCAAAGGGTCTAACTGAGGACTTGATCAACCTTGGGGTAGCTGTGGTTTTACAGATCTTGTATACCATGTGAAGCCAGTATACAAGTTAAGCTCTGAGATAACACACTGCTATTCAATGCAATTCTGTTCCAAAGGATGTCAAAAGCTCCCAGTCACACCAATGACTCCAAACTGCTGCCCAACCAATGTGCTCGGACTGAACCTACTGTATCCTGGCATCCTGCCAAAGAACCCATAGGAAACCACTGACTGGAATGAAGAAGCTGAGCCTAAGAAAGACTGAACAATAGCTGGACCCTGAGGCTCAAAAACAGTGAGGTCTTTGATATCACTTTCCTGGAATACAATACACTCAAAGACTTCATCTTGAGGTGGAGTTGGGCTGTCTTCTGTACCGAAGGATCAAACTTTGGTGAGAGCTACTGTGGAGTTCTTGGTGTTGGTGGTGTAGAGGATGCCCTTGTAGCAGATCTCCTCCTTGGAGATGAGGCTAATCTTGCTGTGGCTCCCACTCAGGCAGATTCCGCGCTGTGCTCTCTGCTCCATGTGCCTGCCTGCTCACTCAGTCGGTACCCCACAGCAGCCGCCTCAGAACCAACACAATGGCTGCCTGGTTTTCTTTTTTTATCCATTCCTTTTTGTCATTTTGAGACATAATATTCCTATGTAGCCCAGGCTAGCCCAGCACCAAAGTCCTAGCTTGACCTTCCAAGTGATGAGACAACAGTTACATACCAACATGCCCGGCACACTTTTTTTCTAATTATAAAAAGACATTGTTTTACTTTGAAAATACCTACATGAGTTGAGGAAAAGTGTTGCTTGAGATGTGAACTTTTTGGCATTACAATAAGGGGTATGGTGGAAGCATTGTTGAATAAAATGTATGTTCTCTTATGGGCAATACAAATTGGCCTTTGTGGTTTAAAAAGTAGGACATAGTTGGGTGGGTTGGGAAGGCGGGATGAATCTGGGAGGAGTAGAGAGGGGTAAATAATCAAAAGATGCTGTATGAAATTCTCAAAGAACTAATAAGAAATGAGGGGTAAGTGGGAGGAGGGAGCAGGAAGGCTCTTGTCTGAGTTTCTTCAGCCACTTTGCTGGAAGGCAGGGCCTGTGACAGAGGGAGGAGGTGCCCTGCACTGGAGTTCCAGTCCACCTTCCAGGTGTTGAACTGCAGTCCAGCAACACACTGGGCTGTCCCCAAGGAAAACAGGAGATAGACAAAGGGACACAAGCTTACCCAGCTCCAGGCCCAACGCATCTCCCTCCCTACCCTCCCCGACATGTCTGCTGATGTCTCAGATGCTGCAGCTGATCTGATCTGGTGGGTACATTGCCAGCAGCTCCTGGAAGTGATGTCAACTAAAGGTCCCTCTCTAGATTATCTGGGGGAGAAATCTCTCAAGGCTTGAGACAAGGCAGCTTCATTGAAAAGGTCAGTGCTTCTGTCATCAGTAATCCCTTATTCAAAATGCTTGGGAATAAAAGGGGTTCAGGTTGCAATTTTGTGGATATGCACAAAATAAGGTAATTTGAGAATGGAGCCTGTGTAAACATGCAAATAACTTATGCTTCCTATGTAAATTACATATACATATCTTGAAATTAATTTTTTACATAAGGTGAATTCAGTGGCAATGCAGATAGTCTGCCCTCACCATACAGAAGCAGGAAGCCCTGCTCCTTTCCTGCCAGTGCTGGGACCAAAGCTAAAACTGCTCATTCGATAACATAGTAGGGTCGCAGCACTGGAGCCAGGCTGTCTAAGGAATTCCTAACTCCCCTTGTGAAGTGGGTGAGGAGAGAGGCAAGGCAAAAATGAGCCTTGGCATCCAGAAGACCTTGAGCTGTTACTATTTCGATGCCACAAAGGCATGACCTCTGACTTGGTACCATAGCAGTACACACCTTTTCTGGGCTTGCATTTGTGTGTGAACTGTTGTAGGGATCAGTGCTGACCCTGACCCATCAACTCAGCAGAAGTCACCAGCCTGTGTCCCAGGTCCTCCCCAGGACATACTAGCACAATATCCAGTCATTTCCCACCGCTCTGACAAAGACGGTCCCTTCCAGTTAGCCTAAGATGGTGTTTGAGTTTTGTTTCTGCTGCTGTGAGAAAACACACTGACCAAAAGCAACTTGGGGAGGAAAGAGTTTATTTGGTTTACATGTTCAGGTCAAAATTCATCATTAATGGAAGTCAGGGCAGGAACGAAAAAAAGAAACTATGGATAAACTTTGCCTGATGTGGGCTATTCCACATCAACCATCAGTCAAAATAACCTCTCCCAAACATGAATGCAGGCAGATCTGATTGATCTAAACCAGTGGTTCTTAGCCTTCCTAATGCTGCAACCCTTTAATATGGCTTCTCATGCTGTGGTGACCCCAGCCATAAAATTACTTCATTGCTACTTTATAACTGTAATTTTCCTACTGTTATGAATCATAATATAAGTATTTGATATGCAGTTTATTTGATATGTGACTCCCAAAAGGGTCATGACCCATAGGTTGAGAACAGCGGATCTAGGCAATTCCTTAGATAAGACTCTCTTAGATGCTCCAGATGTCAAGTTGATAGTTGAAGCTGACTAGGACAGTTGAGTTTGCTCCCTGAAATAAAATGAAAAAAGAAAAAGAAAAAACCCTGCATTACTGTTATCATTATTAAGATACAGAACTTTAATCATTTATGGAGGGTACCACTAAGACCAACATGTGGCCCAATGAAAGATGCTTATGATCTTATTCTAGTAACCATTCAAATTTTATTTATTGTAACACCACATGAATACTTAACAGGACATCCAAGTGCTACTAGGGGGAGCATGAGGATACCTAGTGCCATCAAGGTGGGGCTTGGGAAGAAAGAAGACAGGAAATTGCTCTGAGGAGCTCACACAGGAAGGAGTGATAGGTCAACATAAAGAGGACCAGGGTGTAAAGTCCTATGGTCACAGTAAGAGACCAGAACCTCAGCCCAACTCCAAAGAATCTCAGAATCCAGTCCCTTTTATCAAAGCCAGGAGGCAACAGATAGTGAACATGAGGTCAAAGAAACAGAACCTTCATTCAGTGGCTGATGGAAGCAGAGGCAGACTCCCACAGCTAAGCACTGAGCTGAACTCAAGTAATCCAGTGACAGAGAGGGAGGACTGGATGACCAAAGGGATTAAGACTGGGCTGGTTTAACCCCCAGGAACAGCTGACCTGACAAGGGTTAGCTCTTGAATCCCAGACTGATGCCTGGGAATCCAGCATGGGACTGATCAAGACCCCCTGAATGTGGGTGTCAGTGAGGAGGCCTAGGTAATCTATTGAGCCTTGGGTAGTAGATCAGTATTTATCCTGGGTATCCAAATGGACTTTGGACTCCCATCTAACAATGAGAGATGCACTCTCACCCTGGACTCTTGGGGGAGGGTCTAGGCCCTGCCCTGGATGAAATGACAGACTATGGACACCACTATTGAGGGCCTCACCCTCCCTGGGGAAATGAGGGGATATTGGAGGGGTTGGTGGGAGGGCACGGGAGGAGGGGAGGGAAACAGAGAGGGACCTGGAATTGACATGTGAAGCAACCTTGTTTCTAATTTAAATTTATATATATAGAAAGAAAGAAAACCAGGGGTGGGTACTAGAGGAGAGTCAGGAAAGAGAGGTGGGGAAGAAGTCTCCATCAAAGAGTGGAGGAAGTGGGAGGAATGAGGAGAGAATGGAAACTGGCTTTTTAAAGCTTGGCATTGCTCTTTGTGTCCTTCATAATGCCTCCTATTATGAGGGCACAGATGAGACTATGACAGTTTGAATGGGACTGGCCCTATGGGCTCATAGCTTTGAATACTAGGTCCCCAGTTGTGGCGATATATTATTTATAATTTATTTAAGCTTGCCCGAGGATTCAGAAAGCAAAGTCAGCCACAGGCCATAGAAGCCAGGCACATACCTTTAATCCCAGCAGCCAGAAACCAAGAAGAGGTGGTGGTACACACCTTTAATCCTAGGACTCAGAATTAAGAGGTAGACAGATCTCTGTGAGTCCAAGACCACACAGATCTATACAAGAGAGAATCAGTATAAAAGAGAACTATAGCTCGCACTTTTAATCCCAGCATTAGGGAAGTATATAAGACAGAAGAAGCAAGGTCTCAGTAGAGGAATTTTCATTCTTCAGCCACACTGAAGAAAGGTAACAGTCTGAGGCTTGGTGAGAGCTACTGGAAACAGGACCAGCCCATTCCGCCTGAGGTAGAGGTAAGAAGCTGGTGTCCAGCTGCTTTGCTTCTCTGAACTTCAGCTTGAAGTTTGAACCCAGTCTCTGGGTCTTTTATTTTTCATGTTACACCCAGTTGGTGAAACTCTTTGGGAAGGGTTTGGACAGTGTGGCCTTGTTGCAGGAGGTGTGTCACTGGAGGAAGTTTTGAGGTTTCATAAAAGTCTACCAATCCCAATGTTCTCTATTTCTTACTCAAGGTGTGAGCTCTCAGCTACTGCTCTGATGCCATGCCTGGCTGCCTGCTGCCACGCTCGCCTCCATGATGACCATGGACCCTAACCCTCAAGTAAACACTTTCTTGGCCTTGGTGTCTTTATCACAGCAATAGAAAAGACAACTGGTTCAGATTTGAAGATGAGTTTATGCACATGTGTCTGAGCATGGGAGACTCTGAAAAAGAACTACAAGCTCTCTGTGGTAGAGGACCAACTTCTCTACAGAAAACAGCAGTGTATGAACAAGTTAATCTGTTTGTGGAGACTAACACGTTTTAAAACTGGGCTGTAGTAACTGTTGGCATCATCTACTTTGGGACGGAGTCCTTGGCTCTATTAGTACACTTCCGGGTAAAAGATCATAATCTCATGGTGAATTTCCACTCTGAGTTAAGGGATAAGAGACAGACAGATACAGTCTTTCTTATAGATGGACCACTTGCATCCACTGTATCAATGCAGCTTTGGGGACCCCCAATAGAGGCAAGAACTTAATGCCTGTTAAAATTGCTCATGCTCAAATGCCAATAGGCCCCAAATCATATGACCAAGTGTACTCCACACACAGGGGCAGAGCGGTCTCAGAGAACAGCGAGGGTCACCCTTCGGCTTCCATACCTAAACTGTCTTCAGGTGCCTTCTACTCCTTCCAAACTTGTATGTTCAGGGCTGTTGCCTTGTAAGGTGGCAGAGCAGTCTGCGGGTCTCCTGAGAGCTTGCGGGTGGTGAGGAGCCACAGATTTGCAGTGTTTGCAGGGAAAAACGTGTGTGCTTGGCTCGCTAGTGTGGTAGCAACGGTTGCCTGGCCTGTATATGGGTGCAGGGTTGGGCCTGTGTGCTCCCTGCGTCTCGGGTGTGTGGGCGGGTCTTGGCCTATAGAAGGGTGCACACCTGGTCGCCTGGAGCAGGTGTGTGTCGCCAAACTGATTGCTGAAAATAAACACAGCTCTGCTCTCTGGCTCAGAAAATTCACGTGTTTTTCATTGTTCAGAGAACTTTGTAGCTGCAGATCAGTGGCTTGAAGTTTGACCTCAACTTAGAGATTCCTCAACTGAGATCTCATCTTGAGGAAAGACAAGTGATTTCCCTGTGGTGAGTCCACTTTATAAGCAAACTTTCCTTGGAACTGGGACTTTAGTTCTCTTTGCTAGGCAGTTCTCTTCCTGGTTGGTGTTCATATCTAAAATGCTCTGTGTATGAAGCTGTGACATTTAGAAGAAAATGGTATGGCCAGTGTTCATGCATATGTGTTTTGAACTGTAGGAGACACACTGGGTCTGTGAGCTGTAGAACGGCCCAGGCATAGCAAAAAAAAAAAAAAAAGTCTGTGGTCAACGTCCTGGAAAAAAAATCCACATTTTTCAGTATTAAGTTTAATATTATATACATCATTCTAGTAAATGTAGAAAGCAGAGCTTCCCAGATGGTCACAGAGCCAAAAATCTCTGGGTTTCCTTGAAGTCCTAATCCCAATTTGAGCAGAGTATTGTGTGCTGTCAAATGGTCCAAAAGGAGATTTCAAATGACTGTATGGGGAATTGTGTTCTTGATCTCCAGTGAAGAGAGGATGCAACTTAACTGCGAAATCTCCAAACCACACAGTAGAGACTCACTAAATCCCTGTGGGCTGACAAAGCATCCTGACTCTTGTTTCTCCCTCTTTCATAGACAGTATGCAAAGGTTTGGCTGTAACAAAAATATAAACAAAAGTATTGCATGTCATTAAAGGACTGTTTTAGGAAGCTTAAGGTTTGGTCAGGAATTCAGAACTTTACTCGGTAGCTCAAAGGTGTCTCTTGAGTACAGGAAGGGAAGAAGTGGTTTTTCAAAGGTGTTTCCATGGGAAATCCTGAAACAGAGGGTTCCAGAGATGACCTGGGTGTGTCTGCTGCAGCAAGCCAGTGTCTCTGTCACATATCCTACATAGAAATACAGAAGACTAAGCTAATATTTAATCATCACCTGTTCCTTTATTATAAACATGTGCTAAGAGAAAAAGTATGTGAGGCCCAGGGCATCTGGTTGTAGACCCTTCCACACGTCTATGACAGCGGTTCTCAACCTGTGGGTCACAACCCCTTTGAGGGTCAAACAGCAATTTCACAGGGGTCACATATCAGACATTATGCACACCAAATATTTACATTTCTAGTCATAAGTAGCAAAATTACAGTTATGAAGTATCAATGAAAATAATTTTATGGTTGGGGTCTCCACTATGTGAGGAACTTTATTAAAGGGTCACAGCCTCAGGAAAGAACCACTGTTCTATGAGGACACAATGGCTCTACAGAGAGGGATGGGTAAACTTGGTACACTAGATGGCATTCAAACCAGACCGTGGGAATAGGAAAGACAATTCAAGCTAAGGTACATAGCCATGGGTTTTAGTGAATGTCTTGAGAAGCATCCACCAATAAGCAGAGGATACACCCTCAGTCCTAATACACATTCAATGAATGAATGCAGTTATTCAAATTGAGTGCCATTGTGTGGAAAGTTTTAAAAATTGTTATGGAACTTTCCTTAGAGCAATTTGTCGTATTGTATTGGCAACTGTCTCCATGTGGGTGATGCCTAGGCAGAGCAAATTAAAGAAAAACTATTTACTAAATGAACAGTCCAGGTACACTCAAGTAGTATTGATGGGGCAGAATTTTGAATAGCTAAGATTTCTTTTAGACTGAAGACGGCTCCAAATTGTTTAGTGGACTTTAGGGGGGTGAGTCTAGGCAATGCATTTTGAGAAATTGCAATTTATTAACTTAAGGATTTACTAAATCTAGAATTAGTTATTATGTAAGTAGAAACTGACAACTGCCTGCACTCAAATTCTGGCTCTGCCTCTTACGAGCCATGCAAAGAGTTGTTCGCCTAATTTAATTTCATCTCCAGTTTTTTTTCATCTGCAAAAACAAGGATGATGATACATACTATGATGATTAAATAAGTGATACAAACCTTGTTTCAAACCATGTCTGGCATATATTAAGAGTTGAATCAATGCTAGCTATTGTTATTCATATTGTATTTTCTTTCTGCCACTGAAATAACAATTTCCTTAGGCTGTTTTGAAGGGCTAGCAAGGCTGTGTTTTGTGAAGATATTCTAAAAGAGATAATTAAATCTGGTAAATAATAACTTGGAAAATTTGAATATTTTAGGTTCCCAAACTCAATAGCTTGTCATACAAAGAATAGAACAGAAAAAGGTGATTTATTTTTTCTCATCTGAAGCCCTATAAAATTGGTAACAATTTCATGATGAGAGCACATCATAGGATATTCATCAAGTGACATTCTAGCTTGTGAATTCTGGGAAGGCATTCACTCTGTCATTTCTTCACTTTCTAAATACTTGTTGAGTTCCTATCCTGCCTGGAGCCTGTTGGAGAGAGTGTTTAATTCATCCTTCCATTCTTGGCACTCTCCAGAATAATGAATACACAGACAGCATCAGTAGTTGCTTCTTCAGTGAGCTGGCACTTTAAGTCAGGGTTTTAAAAATCTTGCTAAAATAAAACCCAAAGCTCCAAAGAGAGTACAGAACAGAATTTCTCAAAGAGGTTTAAGACATTGGATTTACTTACAGTCTACAGGGATGTTTTAAAATGGGACTGACATGTGAAATATTCACGTTTCTAATTTAAATTAATACATATATTGAGGAAAAATGTAGTGTATTAATAGAAAATTTGAGATGACAAAGGCCAATTGATTAGGGGATATTTGCTGCGGAATACATAGCTTACCCTGCCTCCAGTTCCAAGAGGAAAGTGCACCTGCTCTCCTGGAAAGGGACTATGAAGAAGTAGCAGGTCAGTGGGGAGTTAGAATGGCAGGTGAAACAGGGCAAGCAGGCTTAGTTTGGCTACTTTGGGTGCCTTCAATAGGTGCTGTAGTACTCGGCCTGACTGTTAGAGATCTGGTCCTGGAGTGATTAGAACAGATGGAGAGGGGCCAAGAGCATGGGGAGGCCCCAAAGGAGGAGGATGGCCATTGGTTTGTTTTTGGAAGCATCTTTCAAGAGGAGTTGTTCCTTATCTCTAGGAATTGGAGGATTCTGGGAGGGGCAGTGTCTCCAGGATCAACCAGGTACGAGTAGTCAAAGCACAATGTTGGGCAGCACGGTTATGTGAGGAAGGGTCAGAATTCAAAGAGACAGTAACATGAAGGGCAGGCTGAGTTTGTGCTGGCAAGGGGCAGGGCTTGTGGATAAAGACTTTAGGTAATAATATTTCTCACTTAAAAATGCTGTTTCCATTTCTACATGTAAACAAACCAATGCTGGACAAAGAAGGGAGACCAAACTGAGGGAGCAGGCAGGCTTGCCTTTCCACTTGCCTCCAAAGCTTTTTCTTAGACCCATGTTGGCAAGTTTCAGAAGAGAGAAAGTAAAGGCTGAAACTGTTTCCACATAATGCCTAAGGATAGGCCCATGTTTCTAAGAGAGGAGAGAAAATGTCTTCTTCCTATTGTCTCTTTGGCACTGTCTTTTAATTAATGTGGAAGAGTTAGAAGCATGTGTATACATAAGCCTCATGCACACAATAAAATATAAAAATGCAGTGTGTTTTATCTCTGAGGTATTGTAAGGGGGATGCCAGGCTCTTCATTCCTTAGTCAGTGCTCATCTCATTAGACAAGAAAAACAGCAGAAGAAAAGTCAAAGCAAAAACATCCTTTGTGTGGTAGGAATGCTGTAATCTTCCTCCATGGCATTGCATGGGGTAGGGTAGGGGTGGGGGGCTGAGGCCTGTAGGCAGGAGTCTGAAGTCTGTCACCCATGTAGGATACAGGCCTATGTTTCTTTTCTTCAGCAAATCTCAGGGTCTCTCCTGTTAGCAGGACAAGATATAAAGATGCAGCAAGTTCATTTTAGAATAGGATAAATATTTTGAGAAAAATGGGCAGGAGAGAGGGGGGGCTGGAATAGAGAGGGAGAAAGATGAGCAAGGCCATCTTAGGGAAGGTTGAAATGGATTTCTAAGGCATTAGTATTGGACCTGAGGCAGGAAGGATGAAAGGATCCAGCTCAGCTAAAAGTTGGAGGGAAACTATTACAGGCAGGAAAAAAAATGGCAAATAGATAATCACCAAACAAAGGAAGGAGCTGGTGAATCCACGATCGTCAAGGTAGCTGAAATAAAGGCCACAGGAGATGTGATGGGAGCTATTGTCTTCATTACTCTGCAACATAACAAGTCCTGGTAGTTTAAATAACCGTCTCAGCCTGTTCTTGGACTCTGTGGGTCAGGAACCAGGCAAGGTTTGGCAAGTAATTCTTTTTGTTATTGGCTGGGTCGTTCATGGGTTAAGTTGGTGGCTGGTCTAGTGGGAGCTGTGCATTGCCTAATTCACTTAGGTTTGCTCTTGAGTTGGTATGATAGTTATTGTGTCAACTTAGCTGGGTCAGGGTTCCTGGAATTTGGTCAAATATTCTTCTTGGTGTTTCTGTGACTATGTGTTTTGGATTACATTACCACTGAATTTGGTGCTGTCAGCTAAAAGCAGATTGCCCTTCATAGTGGATGTGGGCCTTATCTATTCTGTTGAAGGCCTCTACAACTGGTGTTTCCCTAAAAAGAAAGGATTCTGTTGGCCTCAGGACTTGTACTATAGCACTGGTCTTTCTTGGGGCTTAGACCAACCAACCTTTAAGACCACAGGAACTCATTTTTTAGGTAAATCCCTTTGTACTCACACACACACATTCTGTTGGTCCTGTCACCCTGAAGAGAGCTGAGGTAAATGGGAGCCTTGGCTGTTCACAGAAAGCTTACATGTGGCCCTTCACGTGCTTTTCTTTCCCTTTCACGGCCTCTTCCCTCCATAGCTGCTTCCCATAGGGACATGTATTTCTCAGGTGACATTTTCCAGATATAAGGCAGAAACTGCATTGCTTACTTGTAACCTAACTAGACATCAACTATTGTCATCTCCATCATATTCCATAGGCCAAAGTAAACCTTGATAGTTACATAGGTCATGTTTAGCTCAGTAGCTAAAACAAAGAGTATAGGGACTGTGTTTTATAAGTGCTATAGACCAACCAGTTCATGTATGATGTAATAGACATGCACACATATACC